TCCGTTTTTCTTATGTGCGTGTGTCGTATGTGTGTATCGTATTCATCAATTGACGATGAATCAAAGCCAGGTAATTCGAATATATCACTAAAATAAGCGTCGTACGAACGATTTAGTATGCGGGCGACAAAAGAGGGTACATCACACAATGACTTTTTTAATATATAACGACATTCCTATAAAGTCAGTCATCAAATCATATTCGTATAAAACGTATCCGAATGATAAATTGCAATCGATTGTCATTTCATTTTCGAAGCAATATCTCTGACTTACATATGAATCGTTCAGGCGAAAAAATAGCTCTTATTTTTATTCAAACAATACTGCTATATGAAGTTTTTTTTCACATAATTTATTTGTTATATTACAGCCAATAAACTATTTATAAAAAAAACACTTTAGGTCGCAGTATTATATGGAGAAAAAAAAGAGTAATTTTTTCGACGCAACGATTCATATCGTGGTCGGGTTTGATTGGTGTACATTTCATTTTGTATATGTGCTAGCAAGTATGTTGGCAAAATGCTGCGATAAATACATACAATAGTTTTGGAATTTTGTTTTTTTCCCATTTTTCGAACGAATTTTATCATGGTTGTGTTATATTTTTTATAGTAATATCATTTACTCGATGATTCTATTGTTATTGAGAATATCTATTCAAAGAATACTAGTTGAAAGAAAATGAATGGTTGGAGAGGGATGAAGAGAGAGAGAAAGGTGAAAGTAGCATTAGAATCGAATTCTTATGCATCCTTCGAGTAGACAAAAGAAAATTAAACAAACAGGAAAGTGAGGCTTGTAAGCACAACATACAAAAAAACGAAACAAATAAAAGGACAATGTAAGTGAAACGTGTGTATATGAACACTGAACACACACCGAGGGGGTAGACACAAATTTCAAGTGGTTGCAGTTTCTTCTAGCTTTTCTACGAACAAAAATTCAAAAATTCTGCTAATATTTCTTATATTGAACTGAATGAATTGCATCCATACAGATTACAATAGAATTCATTGTGGATGCTTTTCTATTGAGCAGAAATATTTCTATTCGAAGAAAGGCATTGCCAATGTATTTTGTATGGATGAAATTTTCCATAAAGAATAGCAGTGCCAATGTATTCTTTACATTTGACGGATTTCATTTGTATGAAAAAAAAATTGCCAATACTTTTCTTATGAACGAATCGACTTGAACATTTTTTTATTTTCATTTAGTAGCTTCTAGTATGCTCTAATTTTATATAGTAAAATAAATTTGTGTATACCCCCTAGACACATACACTCACTATCTCTCTCTCCACCCTCTCATGCCGCTTTTTTTGTATGTTCATGCTACTTTTTTCGCTTTCTTCGTAAAAAGTGTCTCTCTAACCAAGTTACGATATATAAAAGAACGAATGAAAAATGGATAAACATAAAGTTGAATGGCAATCAACGCTGACAAAGAGAAATGAAATGGAAAATCATTTGAGCAATAGTGAGTGTCTTTCTATGATTGTATTGAACAAAACGAAGATATATGGTATTTTTAATCGGTAGTTATTTTGTGATTACCAGTGGCATTAGAACTAAAATGAGCGACTGATATTCATTGTATTTGTGTATATCATGTCAATTTTTAAATCATCGCCTGTCATTCAATGAATGAGCATTGAGAAAATGTACACGCGCCTGCTGCTCATTTCATCTAAATGGCAACAATTCTATTCACACAAACAAATTGAAAAGCGTGCACTTAATTTCAAATGGAAGTTTTCAATTATAATAGAGATAGGGACAAAGAAAGAGAAAAGTCTGTATGTGTGAGAGAGAGGGTTAGATAAAACGAAAACCAATAAAATTCGAAACCTTATTATCTAATGCTCTTTTGGTCCCGTTTTCTTTAAAACAATGCACAAATAATGATTGTCCATTTTTTCCGTTCAATAAGCTTGTGACTTAGTTTTCACTCATTATTCATAGCAACAACAAAAAAACGAACAAAAAAGAAACACAATTCCGCGACAATTTCGTCAACCATCACCGATACAAATCGATTTTGGCGGTAAAACTACCATAACATAATTTCCACAACATTTTGATTGAAAAAAAACAAGAGAAACAGTCTTCATAAACTCAACAGTGCCAAAGCTGGAGCACTCGCCAAGCAGTCTATTCGTTTCGATTCATCACACATCCGATGTATTGTGATATTATGGGATGCATAATACGATGACGAGAGGCGAATGACATCGTTTGTTTACGAAGCACAAATAAAATAACGAAATTGTTTGGACAGGCTCATTGGAAAAATAGAATGAATGAAAACCGGATTTTTATCAAACTATATCGTTTTATGTTCGATGTTGGTCTCTTTCTCTATCTCTCCCTCTATTTCTTGAGTATTTTCTTGTTGTTGTTGCTGTTTCTGGACTTCATTTATGGTTATATGAATGGTATTGTTGTTGGATTCCATTGCGGTACGATTCGAAAATGCTATACCATATAGCAAATTGAACGAAGAGGAAGAGCGAGTATTTTGGTGTTTAGCGGGGTGTATGTTATGGTTGGAATGCAATCACGCTTCAAATACGAGACGCCCGACTGGCGAACGGCTTATGGTCGTATGGTTTGGGACGCATAGTAATGTTTATGTGGGGTTTTTTTTGTTCTTCGCTTTTATCGTTGATGCCAATGCCGCATCGTTTTGTTACCCAAACAATATAAACGTATATTATTCAGTTTGTTGGTATACACGATATTTTGATAATAAGACACAAACACACACACACACACACACATGCCAGAAAAAGTTTATTGCCCATTTTATAGTGTATGCCCACAGAAGTGCTGCGGTGAAATGTGTTGAAACGAAGAAATTACAGGAAAGAAATCGTTAACTAAAACGGAAAATGTATATTCTCTTTTGCCTTTGTTCTGATGACGTGGCAAAATCTTCACATTTTATTTAAAGCTCAAAGTCCACTCAACCAAAACGATTGATGTGGTTTTATTCGGCAGTCACATTCGTGGTGAATATTTATCAAACACATATATTCGACGACAATGCGTTATTTTGCATAATCGGCGATGAAAGAGCTTTTTTTCGAAAGTATCTTGTGTGTTTTATGGGTGAAAAGTTTAATTTATTTAAAAGAATGATTCAATTAGATGACATAAAATATGTAGTAATTAAGTTATATATGTTTTTTACTGTTATCCAAATTGTATAGGTAGCAATTGACCGATATTTGTTTTTTGAGCTATTGAACACACGAACAAATGTGATTTTTTGAATATATATATTTTCGAGCAACAGCTTTTGTTCTTTCGCTTGTTTTGTGCGTGTATAAATGCATGCAATTCAATGTATATTTCATGATTTAATCTAAAAGCGGATTAAACAGTATTTTATGTGCCTATTTCAATTGCTTTTTAAAGTCTATGACATTAAATTCATGAATGGGTCGCAATTCCCAATTTGTTTTAAACACACATTGCATTGTGGTAGCTTATGCTTAAAATGGACTCTCTCAATAACCCATATTCCCTCGTTGCCTCTTTTCGATTTGGGTTTTAAATTTTGTGATGTTTTTTTTTTCATTTGTTTTTCGTCTGTTTCTCGGACGGAAATGAAAATTTTGCCGTTACACAACTGCTAAACTGAGCGAGTTAAAGTAGCATTTCGTTTCGTTATCACTACAAACAAATCGATTCGCTCATGCAAAAGGAATCGAGTAAAAAGCATGGAAAAACCCTTCGAGTCAAACATTGCGTTAGTTTATTTAATAGTTATCGTATCGAAGCACTTTGTATACTTTTTTCTATTGCGGAAATTATGTCATTTCTATTTCATTTGCGTTACATCAAAGTGTATGCTATTTCAAGTGGAAAAAGAGAATGAAGGGAAAGAGTTAGAGAGAGAGAGAGAGAAAGAGAGAGAGAATAAAATGGTTACATTCTAAAATGCAAACGGTACAATGGCGAGCTTTTTAAATTACATATCATATAATTTAGCATGAAATGTTGTGGTGGCATTTGATTTTCGATTATTGTCGAATGTGGGTGAGTTTGTTCGAAGCTAGAATTTCAAGCATACGTTCAATTATGGCGGCGATAAATTAACATCTATGTTGATAAAATTTCATTCAATGCAGTTGAAAATGATATGCTGACACATCATTGACATATATTCCGAAAAACCAATCAATATACACGTAAATTGTCAATCGGGGCTTATGGCATTGGCAGTGCAACGGCGATGTCGATGACAGAACAACGAGATTAATGGAGAATAGTTTAATTAAACGTGAAATTATGTGCATGTGTCAAGTTGAAATAATGCTTGATTGTTGAAGCCAAAACGCTGTGATTTTATACATTTTATCACACAAGACCACATTTATTAAGTAATATCGTGTTCTATGTTTTTGCTGTTTCTTGATTCCATGCTTCCTGTTCTCTCTCTCTCTATCTCTCTCTCTGTAGTATAAATGAATGTCATAAAATCCATACCATGCCAGTTGCACTAAATAATCTTTTTTCATATCAATTTATCATTTTTTGGGCATTTTCTATAGCGGAAATCTTTTTCGCATTTTATTTACACATGCAATGTTCAAAATAATAATCATTCAGGGACCGACGACTCATACACACACGCACACACACACTTTGTCTCTGTTGAACGTGTATGTTACAGAGTCGGTGTGTCAACACCGATACAATGAACGACACAAAGGTTGACGGTAACCGGTCCCACGAGAAAGAAGCAACAAAATCTTTTTACATTCTCTCTTCGCCTGGTTGTTTCATATAAATTTAATGTTGGTTTGCAATAGCAAAGTTTTTATATTGCAAGAACCGAGTGTAAATCGAGCGATAAAAATGATCGTCAACCATTTAAACGAGAATGGAAAATGTTCATCCGAATAAAATCATCACGTTTCATCGAGCAGTAGTTTAATGTGTCCAACATAAATTGTGTAATAATAATAAAATAAATAAACATACCTGTGGAATTGAAGTGGTGTGTATCAGTGATACAAACGTGCTGTCAATGTGCCGCTCACATGATGTCAATGATATTTACAAAATTGATAATAACACAACTATTTATCTTTGTAAAGGCGAGAAAAACCGAATCCAATTATTTTGTACACCATCCAGTGTTCAAAGAGTGTGCATTTTTATTTGATGTTCACAGATTTGTTAACGAGAGAAATAAAAATGTATGAAAAGAAACGATTTTTTTGTACTTCGATGCGTCTGAAAAGATAATTTAAATTGACATTTTAATTATTGAGACATTTTTGGATGTGTTTATGTTTGTATGTATAATTTCATTATTAAACTGTGTGTATTCAAGTTTGAAACTAACTTCAACATTTTGACGTTTCATTTGAACGATTGTCATTCCATTACTTATGTAAGAAACAACAAATCATCAATATATTACATTGCTATACGAATGAACAATGTTTTATTTACTTTTTACCAGTTTTACATGTTTTTCATAATAAAATTTTATTCTCGATGTTGTACATTGAACTCAGATCGGCTGCCTAAATGGACAAGTGCAAAGAAAACGTTTACATAACAGAAAAAAATGTGGAAAGGAAATGATGGAGAGCAATCAAGTAAAATATACCAAATGCTTGCGACAAATAGACTAAAATGGTAATATTCACTAACAAAAAAATAGAAACAAAAAAACGCCAGCATCTAATATTGAATGAGTGCGCACAAAACGCTATTTTTATTTTCATATTTTGTCATTTTAGACATTTTGAAGGAGTATCTTTGGTGTGCGCGAGTTGAACGATGACAATTTATCGGTTCCCTCGTGCGCTTGACGAAATTTCATATAACGAAAATAATGCTGTTAAACGTGAACAATTTCAAATAAATATATGGTACTATTGTTGTTGTACACACGATTATATTCAAAGCAACCGTCACTCTCTTTCTCACTTCGTCGCTTGTGCGTGCTGCATACGAAATAAAAATTTTTTCATTATCTGTTGGCGTGTGAAAATTGACAGATCCTTGTTGTTTAGTGAATGAAAAATGCAAAAAGAAACAAGCATACGCAATGTACCTACTATCTGAAGGGAGATAAACAATTGGAACAATCAATCTTCTAACCCAACCTACACATGAAATAGATAGAGAAATCTCTTATTGGGCATACATACAGCAAGCAATGTGTCAGACGTGACAGTCGATTCATTCAATCTTATTCCAAGCAAAGGAGAAAAAAGTTAAACGACAACAACACACACACATACACACACAAACACTTGATTTGTTGTTCCTTTCGAAAAATGAATTCAAATCACATTATTTTCTAGTTGACCAACATTTGATTTACTTAATTTTACCAGAAAATTAAGCACGGATTCACGGCGGCTGGGTGAGTTTATATTTCCGCATGATTTTTACTTTAAATCAATATTTAAAAAAAAAAATCATCCGAAAAAGCAAAATCGTTAGGCGTCCAATTCATGGGAGTGACAGGCTACAGTGATTGTAGCAAAACCACTTAACCTGTAATCGTTACCATATTATAGTCATAATAGTTTATCTTAATTATGTTGCCGACATTTAATCAATTCCCTGCTATTGTATGCGTGGCAACGCTCTCCTTTCTGTATCCACTTTGCTGGACACGCACGATACAAAAAGCAATAAAATCTGTGCGGGGAGGATTACTTGTGCGTTTGACTTAAATCTACGAATGTTATCTTTTGTTTCTTTGTTTCGTTACATATTGATGTCGATGACCTCGTTTCAATCATTTCGGATCAATGGTTCTTTAGCTTGAAATGTTCGACTCAATAAACAAATATATCGCATAGTTGGTTGTTGAACGCTGAAAAGTGAGTTGAAAAAGCTTAAAAGCAAAAAACTCCGGCCTGTCAATTGAATTTTGCGTTTTCAATAAATAAAGTCATGTAAACCTATCTTACAGACCATATGAGTAAATTCTCTCCATTTAATTGAACATTTATTCCAATTTCAATGATTAATTTTTGTTTCACCAGTTCTTTTTCTTTTTCATGAACTGACAACATCTTTTTTTCCTCTACCCAAAAGTTTTTTTCGCTTTACACACACTCATATATATATACTTAATAATTCAATGACACTGATTTTTTCACAATTTCACGAACAATTGAAGCTAATTTCAACAGTCGAAAAATAGTATGGTACACCCGTGTAAAATAGAGCATTACCAAAGTCAAACCTGTTATAGGCAACGCGAAGGTGCGGGCACTTAGAAATATATGTTATATATTCCTGCACTTCTTCGGTTCGAATAACAGCTTTTTCCAAAGTCCATGTCGAAAGCGTTCGCATTTTGAACACTCATGCATGCCCTTAAAGAACAAACATAAAAGAGAGACATAAATACAATCTAAATCTAATTGAGCGCATTTTCCGGTGATTTCAGTGTAAGGAACAAGATGAGATACTTTGAGTTGAAGAAAACGATACATAATGTATAAAAGCATGAATGCGATTTGTTTTCATTTTATAATTTTCTCCAATTCAGTCGCATTCTGACTTATTTCGATTTATTTACCCATGTGACAATATAGTTAATTTGTCGATTATTATAGCATTTATTTCGCTTGTATGTTTGTTTGTTGGCCTGCAGGCATCTTGTCGTTGACAACGTAAACGGAAATATGTATGCTTTTTTCCCCTAGAATTGGTATGTTTGTGAAGGTGGCATCAGCGGTGGTTGTTGTGGTTGGTGTTGCAATATTTGCAAACCATTTTATCGTTACGTTTGATGTGTTGTAAATCATAATAAATTCATAAGATATTTACAATTTACGGAATAGTTCAATGGTTTTGGATTCGAAATAGAAATGGTGGTTAGCACATAGCTGTATGACGTACTTCGACTTGGTTGCGATGAATCAAGATATGCATATAGATACATAGAGAGATCCAGTGGGATGATAAACAGTAAACAGTCAAACATAACGAATAAACATTTACAATTGGAAACGTTTAATGTAGAGTGTATAAATGGTGTGCGAGTGAGAAAATGTGTTAAAACTTTGGAAAACAACCAATTCAAATATACTTGGTCGATTCATACATTCAAATGGACAATCTACACTTGACCACATTACAAAGACATATATATACAAACACACGCACACAGTACATTTGAAAGAGGTTGCTGTAATTTCTATCAAATAGCCAAATGATTCACATGACCATTTGCTATATAAAATGCACACACTCATCTCTATTTTACGTCGACCGGTTCGACAATTACATGATATCAGCGAACATTGCATGACCGAAAGCGTTTATTTCACTTCGTGTGAGTAAATCGCATTAACAAGAATAATTTTCAACGTTGGAACGAAAAATTCGGATTTTTTATTCTTTATTCCAGCATCGAAAGGTAGTTTGCAGCATAATAATGCTTTTCGCATCAATCTACTTCAGTGGTAATTTCCGGAGATGGTCATCCTAGCAACCGAAATTCAAGCATTCACCATTATGACGATTTAGGTATTCTATCACTACTTTACCCACACCAAATCGTTTTATCAACACTAAATGTGTGTATGTGAATACGTTAAATTGTTTTCTTATGCAAAAGTGGTCCGAGAATGATAATTGATCATTCTTAAAATGGGTCGGCTGCCTAATGAGTATATGCCAAATATCAAACCATAAACAATTTCATTCCTTTAATGTTATACATTTCTTTTTCGGTTTTTTAACGAGTACACATATCTAAGTAGTTAAGTTTTAATATGTATAGCACTTGGCTTTTCGTGCAATGGAAATATTTCGATTTAACGTTACGTACATATGATATATAGATATTTTTGGGTACGGTTCAAACGCGGAAAAGAGTATGCTGTGTGCACACAATAGGTTGATATGCAGCAGCAGCACTAAGCTTTACATGCTGCCGCCGGATTCATACTAAATAAGATCTGTTCGAAGTGAAAAAAAGCAACACATTTCCACACATCTACCAGAAACTCTCTCGTTCACCATACTCCGACGGTATATCGAACAACCAAGAGAACGGCGGCGAGAACGAGAGGATGGCGAGAAAGAAGGATGGATAGAGAGTGAGCGTATATGAAGAGTGAATGCGGTAAAAGGAAAAAACCACCAACAATTGAATATGAAAAATAAAGAGGCAAAAGTAGGTTATTGCACTTGTGTAACAGTTCTATTTCATCGTAGATTCATGCTTTATTCTCTTCATACTCGCCCCTATGATTTTATTATGCAGCCGCTGCTGTTATTATTGTCGTTTTTGTTGGTATTTTTTCTTCTTCTTCTTCTTTCTATCTCTGTTTTTTTTTTTGTATTCATTTCATTTGCCTCCTTCAAGCTTTCTCTGTTTGTCTCTCGTCACTTGAAAATTATGTGTATGAAGTTTTTTGTCGCTTTGTTCTCTTTTTTCTTACATTTTGTAATGCTATGGCAATAGCCAATGACTGAAAATGGCATGCTGGCAATAAATGACAAAATAACGATATAGAACAAAGCCAGGCCAACGTAATCAAAACGTGGAAAAATTTAAAGAAAAAATGAACGAAAGAAGTTGGATTCAAAACCAAAATATCATTCGCACATTGCATAAATGCAACAATAAAGGAAATACCACCACGACTGTAACGATGGGGGGAAAAGGCAGTGGGAAAAGAACAAACCGATCGTCTGAAGTTAAGTAACGTGTCAAAGTGATTGCAAATGGTAAAACGTGAACACACAAATAATAAATATTTTTTTTTTGTATATGTTTCTTCGTCTTTTTTTATTCTCGGTTTCGTTTTAAACACACATAAAAGTTCTATAGTGAACACCATTGTTGAGAATGAAATTGAGTGTATGACTGCAACATTAAACGACATGAAAAAACAACAACAAAAAATTACACTCAATGTGAAATACGAACGATAGAAACAAATAAGCAAAATGGCACACACACACACAGACACAAAACCACAACCGAACCAACAAAAGTAGGCAAGTTGAATTGAAAATTAATAAACATAAAATGAAACTTATGGGTTGTTAAACACATCGATTGAATGATCAAAACAGGCAGAATGGTTACGTATTTGTGTGTTTATGTTAATTTCATCCTTTCACAGAATCAATTATTGATCGGTTGTTTGTTACTGTTTGTTTTTCCTCATTACATATTCAAAAAAAAAACAAACTCTTTTGCCGTTTAATTAGTTCATTTACCTTTTTTAAGTGGAATTTTTCTCGTCTACTTTGTTTATCTTTTTGTTTATTGTATTTAGTTTTTTGTTTATAAAAAAAGCTCTCGCGTCCGATTTGTGTGCAACACCATTTTCAAAAAAAAAAACGGGAGCGTATTTCAGTTTTTGCTGTCTTCTTTTCGGTAAATCGATCGGTGGTTTATATTATTTTTTACATCGCACTCGTTTTGGTTAAATAAGCTGTCATGAGAATTTAGAACGATTATTTAATACACAGTGGTCGAATCGAACGCACCAGTCGACCCGAACAATTGTTTGTTTTTCTATGGATTTGCCTTCAGTCAAATTTTATATCAATTTCAAGCTTTTCTTGATTACGAAACGGACAAACAACATTTTATTTTTGATGAACACTTTGGGTGTCGATGTCATTTTTTCTCATTGTGATTATTTTCTTTTTGAAAACCGGGCATCCGAATTTCATTCGCCCCTTTTTCGTGACACCACGATAATGATGATATTTTTGTTTTTATTTTCTCGTCTTTTATTATCGTCGATTCGATACGAAAAAAAAAAATAATCGTTTCAGAATTAAATGTGTAATACTTGGTGATACCGTGTTTCTTTTTTTGTTGTTCGTCTTCTTTGTTTCGAATTTTATCAGATAAACTTCTCGTTGGTGAATGAATTTATGTTTTAGGTCAATGTGTATATATGCACACAAAATGTGTATATTTTTCCGCGTCCGACTTTGTTACCATTCAGTTTACGACTGAAACGGTGCCGTTCGATTGCCTGTGTGTATAGTAATTTTCATGTTGATGCCGTCGTTTCTTACTGCCGTTCTTACTGCTACCACTGTCTGATTGTGAATTATTTTCCAAATAGCGTTTGTGAGTCAAATGCACGAGTGACAATAACATCACAACCATACACTACGGCACACGCATACAAGCGCACACAAGCACCACTGTGCCATCGCCATAGTTGTGGAAAGTGGAGGAAAAACGAATATTTGAATTGATATTGGCTGCAAACAAGCTCTTGCATGTGATAGTCCTCATGCATATATACACATACAAAGAGCGAGGAAGATACGTACACACTCGGCGGTGCTTATACTGCAAGCACATCAAGCTTATACGTTATTCTGTGTCGCGTGCTTATTATCCACCACCACAATGCAACGACCAAATCGTGTAGCATATGACACATCAACAAACGAACGAACGAAAAAAAAAAAGATAAACACATCGCGAAATGAATTCGCGACTATCGAAGGAAAATTGATAGCAATAAGGGACAATAATATATGACGAAACAACCTACCGTTAGATAGACAAATTGATAGAGAGAGGAGGGTAGCCGCTACTGCGATTAACAAAGACAGCATACAAAATGTAATCAAAAATAAACAATGAAATATAAATTTCGCTATAATGGCACACAAAAAACGCGCTCGATTAATATAAACAAATATTTAACCGAGATTTTCAATCGAATCGCATTGCACAGTACCGATCGACCAAGAAACAATGCGTGTATGAGAGAAGAGAACGAATAGTGGACGTGACTCGAGTAATTATGATATCGCGCTTAACATTTTCTCTTGTTTGCACATTTAAAAGGCGTTCATTTATTGTTTCGTTTTTTTACTTGTAAAAATCACATTCTAAATGTCTCGCATATAATGACTCAAAGATTGGGGTCGTTTTGTTGTTCTTCTTTTTTTTTAGTAAAAGCGTTTAATTAATTGTTTGCGAACCTCTTGGTATTTCAAATATTATGTTGTATTCTTTTCGGAGGATTTGTTGTCGTTATTTTCTAGTAAGTTAAGCACGTTCATTCGACCGACCCGAACAGTATTCGCGCGCAAGTATAACACATACCCCGTTCACGATGGCTGACGAGATTCATAATATTTGTGCCCTATATTTTTCAAACGGTTGCATTTTTAAAAGCGAAGTGGTGTTGCTGGAGTGCACATTGGTCACAGATCACGTTTCATGTCTTCAAAATTGATATTAGTCTTTTTTGTGGTTAGAGTAAAGGGTACCTCTTTATCCCCTCTGATGATTCTTGTTTTATTTCGATTTCGTTTTCTTTTATCGTTGGATGATATAATTGTACTTTGGAAAAACATCCGCATTCCGATATGAACATATTGTGCCGGTGTGTTTGTGTTTCGAAATCATATGATTCCATGTGCATGTCACATCAATTTCAATATTATTTTCTGTGTCAAACATGCGCACCATCAACCCTTTGTATTTTGGTTTAGATTGCAAAAGTCCTCTCAAATTCGTTCTCTCTCTCTCTCTCTGTCTGTTTGTATGTTCTCTCTCTCTATCATACTATATTTTATTTATTGAGAAAAGTGTTTGCTCAAAAATAACCCTCGCTTCATATTCGCACGAGATTTTTGCATATGCACATATTGTTGCTTACTGTCTGTATGTGTCGAGTATGTTTGAAGTGTGTATAAGTTTTTAAAGTTAGTCTTTTGATCCCTGTGACTAATACATTGCCTTTGGTACTTACATACATATAAGCGATTGAGAATAAAAGTGGAAATAGGACATACCGTGAGATCATGTCTTCAGTAATTTGGCCGGTGGGCGCTGGTATCGAAGATTTTTTGTTGAAGATTCAACGAATACGACATCTATTAAAATACATAAAGATTTTTGTTACTAAAGAACACACTGACTCTGATTTTGTGTGTCCGTTTGTATTGCAAATTCTGCACTCAGTCGTCAACCGTAGCTGCTTGTACAAAATTTACAACACACACGCATACACAGAATCGGTGTCAGTACTAATACGTTTGCAATACAGCTATATAGTTCGCTAGAGCTGTGTCAAGACAGCAGTAGTAACGAAAATCTTTATTGTCTTTAATAGGTGGCGTATTGTTGAATTTTCAACAAATATTTCCATACAAAAAGTGCTTCACCAGCGCCCACCGAATTTGACGATATTATCTTGATGGTAAAAGGTTGTGTAGTGTTTTTGGTTTTTATAATATCGAATGCCTTAGTTTCAAAACATGATATTAGTTATATCCATTTTTATGCTTTGCCATTCTGCGTTTAAGCACGGATGCTTCGTTTTAAAATCGCTTTGGTGAATTCACAATTATATTTGATGTGCTGTAGCAGAAGTGGATTAAATCCGAAACTTTGACTTTGTATTAATTTTTCGGTAACAACCTTCGAAATAATAATTAGGGATGCTGCACGTGGAGGCTAATTGTTCATATTAACATTATCGAATCGATGATACAAGCCATAGATTTTATGATGTTAACGAAACAGAACGGAACAGCAATCAAATTAAACATAAAATATATAGCGACTAAGGCCAAGAAACCCCTCCGAAATGCTTACCTTAAATGTTAGTCATAAGTTATGATTCATGGTAAATTCTATGTCAACAGAAGTGTAAACATAAGTGGGCAGACTAACAATTTCAGGGGTAAATACGGGAGTTAATTCCCTCCTACATGAGAAAAATTCTATACAAAATCGTGAATTTTGTATGGCCCATACAGTATGGGGTAAAGAGAAACATTGATATCTCAGCAGAGGAGGTAATTACCCTGTCTGCTCATCTATAAGAGATTGGAAAACGAAACTAGAAGAGAAAAGTTTAAAACTGATGGCGAATGGCTGATGAATCAAAAAAGGAAACACCAAATAATTCGGTGGTACGCTTAAGTGAGAGCGCTGAATGAGAAGAACATCACCACCACCGCTACCGAAACTCAGAAACGAAGTACGAGCACGTTCATCAGTAGCGTACAATAATACAATTTGAATTTATGAAAATAAATAATTTCCCGTAAATCAAAAGTATAGCTTTGTTCAAATTGACTGAAATTCAAAGAAATTTGTGATGATACATTGGCATGACGACGGTCAAATTATATAATTCAGCAATGAAGAAGACTTTTAATCCCAATTTTAACTTTCATTTTAACTTTCATCTTCCATTTCAATTTAAAAAAGAAAAACGAATGAATCTTACTTTTTATTCCCATTTGTTTCAAGATATTTTTTTCAACGTCGTCTTTTCTCAAGTTCAACGCAAAAACCATTCTAATCAATTGTTCTAATCATTACAAAATTAGGATATTTTGACTTTTATCATAAAATACTCACCCTGCTTGTCTCCTTTTTCAATAAAAGACCTACAGCAAAAAGAACGCCATAAATTAACTTTATTGCAATTATTTTCTTTTTACCAAAACCTTTTTGTTTCTATTTTGAGTGTGTGTGTGTGATTTGAGTTGATTTCATTGAATATATTGAAAACTCTGGTTCTGCTCTGATTCATTTAATTTGGATTTGGTGCGCTTTTGAATTTATTTCAATTTTAATAGGTTTCAAAACCGGAAATTAATTCAATTTTCGAGGACTCGTGCAAAGCGTAGCATGTATCAATCATTCAAAATTGGCCATAATGGCCAATCAGACGGACGAAATGTGAATACACATTGGACTGATATAATGCACTTTTAAATTTCGGTAAATCATATTTGATTTGGAATTATTATGTTTTTAATGAATAATTTTTTTTTGCTTAATTATTGATGAATACATAAATCTACTCTCGAACTGCGTGAATTGGTACCAAATCTTCGTAATTCGGTTTCAGTTCTCACAGTTCAATGAATTCAATTTTGAACGTAAAATAAATGAAAATAAATTTAAATATTTTTGGTCAGCATCGGTGGGCAACAGTATCACCAAATCTGTCAGAATCTTTTTCGAAGCGACATCACGTGTGCTCCTCTGTATTAGTGCGTTCGTTCGCTAGAGCCGTGTCATTTCGATGAGGTCGCTTTCAAAAACTTTCTAACATCAAATACACAGGCTTAAATGCAATAATGTTGCCCATCGGTCAGCCTACACAAACATCAGGTCATATGTTCACAGAGTTTCAAAATGCCTTTTAACCTAGCTTTCACTTAAAGTGTGATTATGACGGTATCCAGAAAAAAACCGTTATAAAATGCTTGAAATTCTCAATAAACGGTTAAAATTAATAAAATACAGTAATTTTAAAATCAATTTCCTGACCTCTGATCGAATTATTTTCAGTCGGGATTTAATCAATGCGGATCATATGTGTTGTGGTGCATAACGTTTTCTCTTTTCTGATATTTTTCAATGATTTTAAATTCGATGCAAAAGATTCAATGGAAACTACAATACGTTAATATTTTTAACGTAGAAAAATATTCACACCGTGTAATTTACACGTGATATGCATTTGTTGCGAATTTCAGCCACAATTTATCATTTTTAAAGCTTTTACCAATATTTCAACTGGATCTGATGTGAGTTGTTGTTGTTTTTGTCCATGATTAAAAAATACGAATGGATTGTTTTTAATTAACAACGCTTCAGTAAAGCACCATGTGGTGGTGTGATATTTTTTCAACTTTAATTGCGTATTTTTGTTTGAATTTAAGCCGAAAAACACGTAAACTGTATAAACGACAATTTGTTATTTCGATTGCTTTTTTTTTAGATGAATGTTGAAATATTAATACCAGCAGCCATCGAAAAAATGCACCATGAATTTTCAATCGAATTTAAAAGTCAAGTTTGTAAAGATTTGTGATCAATTTAGCCGTATTATATTATTGTGTTATAGCGACCAAAATTCGGGAATGCTTCTAGCGCAACGCTTTTCATTGTCATCAATAATTTATATCGACAACATTTTGCTGATTAAAATGGTTGAATTTTTAATGCAATTTTTAATAATAATAATAATAATGAATGCGTATTCTGTAATAATATCAACGAAGAAGAATTTTGTAATAGAGAGAAATTTTAGTTTTGCAGCAGGTGATGATATTTATATTGAATTAACATGTTGCATGCTAAGGCTGTCTAAAGAAATATACACCTATGGACATAAACTAAAGCTCTTTCACTGCGGGGTTTTAAGTGGTTGTTTTTCTATTAGCGACAGCTTTGTAAAATTTACATCGTCATTACTATTTTAAAGCTTCAAATTGTACTAAATTTTCAGTCTTCAACGTTGTATTTGACATTCCCAAGAATATTGGAAAGTGGATTCATTGATATTCATTTAAATGGAATTCCATTATTACTATTTGTTAATATACAGTGTGTCGATTTGTGTAATTCAAAAAGGTCAATGACATATTTTCGTTGAATCCATATTAAAAAGACATCAATTTAAATGTATTTTATTAATTTCAATCGATTGATTTGCGTTGAATTTCTTTCCTCGTTCTTTGAACATAACACCTCTCTCTTCCACTCTCTCCGCCTTCCAATTTCTCCGATATGTAATTTCATAATCACAAAAATGGCAATAATATGCTTGAAAGCATTTGCTCCAAACTTGGTTTCACAATCAAATATGGCACGTACTATTCCAACCCCGTTTCTTGTTCATTTGCCAAGTTCATTGGTTCAGTGTATATAATACGCACCAATCTTGAATTTAATTCAATATTTAATAAACGCTTTTATTAGACATTTTATTTGATTTCTGTCGTAGTAGACAGCATATCCAGCACTATCTTTCTTTCTTTCTTCCGAACTTTTGAACTATTCAAGCTGTTTAACACAGCTGGACTTTTGCAGTGAATTTTATCGAGGCAACTCGTTGTCATTATACTTTTCTTTGTCGTCTTTATGGTTTTTTTTTTCTCATCTATTTATCTTCCAATTTTGACTCGTTGGAATTTTCTTCGTTATCATCACCAAAAGAATGGCCGAACACAAAGAACTACTTGGCATTTTAATTACGACAAAATATGATTTTCTTTTACGTTAACTTTTTCATATGCAATTTCCGAAATAAATTACTCGAAAGGAGTTTCAGTTTGTATTGTAATGATGGCCATCATCTTTTACAGTAGAAGAGGGCTGGAAATAATCCGGTTACACGATTCCTTTTGCTACGGCTGAAAAATAATTGACTTTCAACACTTTTTCCTATGGTTGCATTTTAATGTTGAGCTATAATAAGTCAACGTAATTGGTGTCATAAAAGGTTAAATCCTTTGACTTGACATAACTTTTTTGTTGTTGAATATAAACTCAAACAGTTCGGTATTCAAACAACAGTATGATTGATTCAAAAGATCCCGTTGGAAATACTTGTTAGATTTATAGTTAGATATTTCAACAAATTTCAACAAAGTGGAATTTAAAAGTCGCTTTTTTTCGAAAGAGAGAGAGAGAGAGAAAAAAATGATTCGACTTTACGAAAGTTGGCAACCAGAGAGAATGAACTTTGTCTGTTGAAAAGTCGTCTTTTCTTCGAAACAGTTGTATCTGCCTTATCTGGTGTGTGTTGTATGAATGTAGTAAAAAGTAAAAAAAAGGAATGGCGCAAAATGGCATAAAGCGAACGCTTTTCGTACATGAACTTAATGCTGAGTTAGATGTTATGTACACTGTACCGATGAATATAAGTAAGTAAAGCTTCGAACTTTGCAATGTTTATCATTTCGTTTTGTGTTTGAATATATAAGCCAAACATAATACAATTGCTTTATAGTTAAAATGAGCGTTGATGATTTTCCATATATTCAGTCATATGCACACACTCACACAGACACATTCATAACGATAACGATATCGTTTAGTCTTTATTTTCGGTGGGTGGCTGTGTGCGATTTTTTCTTCATTTTCTTTTGCGGTTGAATGGGTTGTGTAGTTTATCTGTTGCTAGATAATAATAATGTACTTTTCTTCTTACCATTTTGGCGCATTTTATGTTACAAAAATAATCATAGCAACAAAATGAATATCTTGTGTGACGTTTGTAATTTGATTTTAATGCCGTTTAAGATCTTCCATATCATGTTTATATTCTTGTTGAGGAAAGTGTGTTTTCTTTTAATTTCATGCGAAACAAAAATGTGTGTCGCCCTCATTTTGGATGTGAGACAACAAAGGATTTCTATGTATTTTCTATACAACATTTTTTTAAAACATTGAGCTCCTTCAATTTTTTTTTCTTATGTGCGTTTGCACAAGAACAATAGAGAGAGAGAGAGAGAAATTCGAAGTGGATGAATTGGGAGGAGGCCACGAAATTGCACAAATTAGCAATGAATGTGGTTAAACGAAGCAAATGCGTTGCGGTAAACCTAAATAATTTATATCCACGAGTAAAACCGTTTAAAAACGGTAGCGATTATATGCGCTAAAGGTGCTGGCCAAACATATTTGAAAGTCAGCGCATTAAAGCTGGAAAGCTTATACGATCAAGGCTCATCAATGTTTTCCATAACGGATAATTTCCAAATGTTTGCTTATGCTTTATTTTATTTATACTTTTGATTTTGGAATACAACGGGCTACTTTTTTTTTGCTGTTGTCCGTTATTTGGAGAGCACTTGTCTCGACTTCGTTTGCTCATTGAAAAGGAAAAGAAATTAAATTACGGTTAATTCTTTAATTTGATGTTGGGTCATCAAGCAGACATTCTTTTTTGTGTTCGAAGTTTTATGATGATGGCGAAACCCCACGTGCGATGGGAATTTGCGTGAATATTCAATTTCTTCAGAAAATTGTGATTAATTACAGCACGGTACGGTTTTCTCTCTCTTGCTCTCTTCGTTCTAATTTTTTTTTTGTTTCAGTTCATGTTCTTGTTCTTATTTCATTTCGATAAATGATTTCGATTTCAACTTTGTTCGATGTAATTCATTTCGTCCATGATGGATTATTTAGCAAACAAACATATTTTGGGTTTTGTGTTTGGCCCGAATTTTTTTATATGAAAATTAATGATGATATATTTGCAAACCGCACTCGTTTTTCTATATTTTTCGATATGTTTTGTTTTCTCTTCGCCATTCCGATTCCATTCCATTGTGTGCTGTTGTTTGATTTGGGACCATACGAAGGTGAGACAAACAAAAGTCGAAAAAATAAAAATCAAATACACGAAGCAAAAACTAATTCACACACCGATTTTATTAAATATGAATTTTGACAAAGAAAACAAGAAAACGAACGAAAAATTGTTTATCGAAATGAAGCATTCTCATCATCGACGATAATAATGATTTGTTTCGGCTGGTTGTCGTATAATGAATCCCCATGGTGCATAGTGTTCTTCCTCATTGTTTGCGCCGCGAAACACTTGAATTTGTACTCGATTCGTGCGTTTCGGTGCCATTGGTATTGTACCTGCCAAATAAACAACAAACCAGTGTTATCAACAAACAATAAATCACATCAATTACTTGTACAAGCAAAAAATGACAAATTCAAGTCAATTCTTGACACAAACTCACACACACAAACACACAAACACGCGTTTCCAAGAATCGAAGTTGAAACATGAAAACCTCTCAATATGATTGCGAAATTCTTGAGCGAAAAAAAACGATTATCTCCTTATCCGAATATATACAGTGTATACGCACATAAGCACATGGAGAAAAAAGCCAAGTTCCTCGAGGGAAAATGCCATTGTTGCTTTAAGTGTTCACAAACTGCTCGTGTTTTGTACTTCACATCTCATGATGTTCAAGTGCTGCTGAACCACGTCAAATCAAAATATAAATTTTATACATATATAACATTTTGTAAAAAAGATGAATGAATGTTTGTGATTTGAATAAATACGTGTTTTTTCTCTCGAAATCTCCTTTACATACGCAAGAAATCGCAATTTAAGTAATATTCACATGATGATTTAATGCACGTCATCCACCTGACTGCCGCGACATCAATCTAGTAAACATTTGACATAATACACACAATACCAACCATATCGTACTCGTTCCCGCTCTGAAAGATGTTTCATGCGTGGATCGGCCGCGATTATTAACACGTGCACACTTAGCATCAATAAGAAATTCTAATCCAAGAAAAAAAAAACGAAAATAACGAATTTGTTGCAAAATAATGTTTACACAACACAATTTTTTTACACTGACAATGACTGATAACTTGTTTGTTTACCATCAGCAACTTGGAAGCCATCGCTCACAGACACACCTTTTTCGTTTATTCACCGAAAACGAGGGAAAAAAAAGTTCAAAATTATGCGCGAAGAACTTCAAAGTGTTGTTGAGAGTTTTTGCACCGAAATGATGCCGATGGAAATTATGAATGAATCTTTTATAGAAACCACCCAACACCAAGTGACAGTCTTCGTCAATTCAATCGAGCGATGTAAATTGGAGAAAGAGAAAGAAACAAATTTATGGATATAAATTTGTAATTTCACGCCAATTTGCATTTTACTAACGCTTACCACTCTTTCGTTCACTTGCATAACAACAAATTGAAATGATACAAATTGAATTGTTTTCTACTATTTTCTTTTGAATACAGTTCTTTTCTTCACATTGTTTATTATAAATTACAATTTTCGTTTATAATGGAAATGTTTCGTAAAATATAGTTAATCTTAAATTTAACAACTTGTTGACGCATGGTTGAGTTCAATTCAATGTGAGATTTGTTGCCGATTTTCTACCTCAATTTTTATTTTGTTTTATTGTAGTGTACTTTTCATGAAATAAATCACATCTGAATTCGATTATTTCGACCATTCATCTCGTACGGTGATGTCAATTCACGATTACACTGTGCCAGTCATTATTTGACGAACTAGTTTATCAAAGTTGCTAAAAATAACAAAAAAAAGGTATTAAATTTTATTAAAATGAAAATTGAAAAATAAGTGGAAAGTTTCTCTCTCGGAGTTTGTTCAATGTTGAGAAAATAAAATGTTTGAGTGAATGTCGTCAAATCGAATCAAATATTCTCAGAGAGGTTTTTAAAGTGGTTACATTTAGAGTTGAAAATACACCTGCCATTCTCAACCAAAAGTTTAGACGGAATACATAATAATATATTCGAGACGTTAGTCGTCGAATCTAGATTTAGAAATGTAATTTAAAATTTGTAAAAACATTTTTTTTTTCATACACAGTGTTTCAAACATTATGGAAAAATTATTGATAATTTTGTTTCATGTGGGATGGAGTTTACAATAGACACACGTAAAAATTAATTTCTCCGAAATCAACACATTGTTCGAAATGCCTGTATATTTTAGTTTTTGTTTTCAACTTTTTCCATTCAAACATTTCGTAGAGATAAATAAACAACACCATGAGACAACATTTAAAAATTGCGGATTTTTTTTTTCTGAGAAAAATCGCAGATTGGATTCCAAAACTATGCAAATCGATTCTATTGTTGGTTACCTTGATGTCAATGGTTCGCCGGGCACGTAAAATGGATTACACACAGCATCTGTGTACAATGAATGTAAATTACGAAACATCTATTTGAATTGAAAAAAAGAAAATAAATTGAAATGTATTTGCAATTGGTTCAATTCATTGTTGATCAACACTTTTATTGAATTAGTTTCCATTACCGTTCGAACGTCATTTTCCCGCAATGCCGTATTGCTAGAATCAACCACAATGATGAATTTAATTTTGCTATTTGTCACATATCCATAGCTGCTCTCAATCAAATCAATTGGTAAAATAGAAGCGGCCACAACAAACAATCAACAACCAAGAAAGAGACAAGATGTGAGACATTTTAATGCTTTGACACACACTTCGGGTATATAAAATGTCAATGATGCTTACATTTTGTGATATTCCGTTGCATATAAGAGGCCAATATACAAATCTCTTGAATCTTGTGATGGTGTTTGGCCGACCGAGCATTTTTCTTCAACTACATCTAATGCGGCATGAACACGATACTGCAATTCAAGCTCCTTGTCCAAATCGGATGTGGCGATATACTGTGGCGAATTCTGATGTAAAACAAAAACTATTTATATACAAAATACATTTTTATCAATAATTTTTTGTTTCATGTATAAAACTCACATCTTTGCCGATAATTGCGATGCACACAGCCATTCTAGGTTTTGTTTAAATCGCTCAAAACAAGAGTTGTAGCACGTAAACAGAGATCGAAATTTTGTTTCTTATCGTTTTTGACACATACGCCTCTCTCTGTCGCTCTATGTGTATACGTGCGAACTGTCAGCGCTCCACCGATGAACTGTCAATGTCAAATATCTGGTTTTGAATGAAAAAAAAATCAAAATAAATACCAAATGAATCTATTCACTCACACACAAAAAAACAAAGAGCATCGATTTTTAAATGAATTTTATTTTAAAAGAAATGTTTTAAATTGTGTCTGTCATATGGCCATTTGATGAATTTTTCAACGAATAAAATATTGCAAATTAATTTGATAAAAGGGTAAGAGTGAAGCTTTCTTGTTTAATTCATTCTATGTTGGTTACTTTTCCTCTCAATTTTTTTTTTGTTTTTATTTATGTTGATTTCAGTTTCTATCAAGTGAAATTTGAACGACAGTCAGGTTGGCCATTTCATTGAGGTCACAAGGAAAAATTGGCGAAATAACATGATGCCAGCCATATATGATGACACACTTCGCTCCAAAGAGTCAAATGAACCAGCAAAATTAATCGCATTCAATCGAACGGGACGTCCGGTAGATATTTTATGGATAAATTATGCAGCCAAATTGGTTTTATACCGACTACTAGGTAAAGACGATCAAACTGAAATGGATACATTTAAAACGCATCCGTGGATATTTCGTGATTGTTATACGGGACTATTGATGCATGTGAATCACAAAGAAGTATTTTGGCCAGAAGCGTCTACTGACAAACGACCCATTCAACATGTATACATTCATTATCCGGTACAAAGTCTTAAAACAATTTCATCGTGGGCAATCATTACGAAAGCTAGGTAACGATTTTACTCAATTTAAAGATGAAAATGACTTAGTTTCACCCACGTCTACCGTGGAAATAGGATGAAATTCAGGTGATATTAAACTGTGAGCCACACCTGAATTGAATCCATTTTTTTACGATAGGATATTTTTGAATCCATTTTATGGGTCTATTTTATTGAACTTAATTCATACACACAAAATAATAACTTTTCAAAACTAGATGGCGGTTTGTTTAGAACTTGTAATCAGATGATTCGACGTTTAATTTAAAAAAAAATCGTTTAGTTCGCAAAATCATAAATGTCAAGTTCTCATACCGAACAAGTATACACAGAGAGAGAAAATTTGGTATTTTTAATTCAATTTTGGTAGATTTAATATCAACCAACAACGAATTAAATTTACCATTTTTGACATCTCTGATGCATATTTTTCAAAAGAATTGAATAAGTTTTACCAATTGCTTCATTACATTCACCAAATTCATGGGCTAACGTCATCTGTGGTTTCGAAAAGTTCTTTTGTTTGTAGTTAAATTTCTAACTAATCTTTTTTCTCCTTTTTTGCCTTTCGTCACCATTGGAAATGAATGAAACTACAAACATATTTGGCGCCAATTTTGATTGTAAACATGTGATAACGGATAATTTTTAACAATTTTTTCCGGTGATTCTATAGAAATCTTAATGAAATCTCACAAATGGAAATACCACAAACATTACGCAATGATTTAGGAACACTTTATCGACAATTCTATAATCATCATGTTACTTTAGCACAGCGAAGAATGGAACAACGTCGAAATCTACAACGGCGACAGCAACAACAACAACAGCTGCAACTGCAGCAGCATCGAAACCAATGAATGTGATTTGAAAATGTGTGGAAGATCTTTATTTGATTTGATAAATCGAATTTATATTTATATGTGTATAAGTTTTTATTTTTTTTTATGGAATTTTTTTCCGTTGGATTGCAAATTTTGCAAAAATCCTAGAATTAGCACAAATAAAGCATTTTATTTTATTGTTGAAAACTGAAATTATTTTCATACTTAAATTGATTGAATTGTGATTGAAATAAAATCAGAAAATTGAAATTTGAAAAAAAAAACAGCCAACCCAACAAGACTTAGAAAAAAAAACAAAGTATTATAAAATGAATATTGATTTAAATCTAAAGAGAAAAATACAAATTGAATAATTTCGTATATTAAATCACCTTTATTTTTTATTGGCTTATTTGCTTTTTTTTCTGTTTAAATCTATCGTAATTTTTCTCCTGGTAATTCGATATTGTTAATCTTAAACTTTACAATTATTTTATTGATAACACTCAATATTTTATTCCATGTGTTTTTCTATAAAAGCATCTATCATTACTCCTTTCAACGATCTATCGTAGAAATCGTGATAAAATAATCACATATTTTTTTGTCATCTTACATATACAAAATGGCTTAATTTGTAAGTATATAATCATTATATTTACAAGGTGGGGATGAAAGGGGGAGGCGGTTGGCCGATTAATTTTTTTGTTCAAAGAAGAAAATGTACCGAACGCGCAAATAAAAATGCCTCATTTGGAAGTGAGTGTAATTTGGTTCGAGGTGATAGTGCTATTCGTGCCAATGTAAACTAATTCATGCCACACCTTGTATATCACCGTTCTCTTAATTTCATTTTGATTTTCGATTTTCAATGTTCAAGTATCATTTAAAACACATACGTTATGGTAATGGAGTTCATATTTTTCATTCGATATATTTACGACACTTGATTTTTTTAAAATATTATTTGTCTTGCAATATCCAATCGATTTGAATCGAAATGATTGCGTACATCCCATCAGCTCATTCATCAATAATTTGAGCTGCCTACCAATGAAATATCGCTTTGTTATAATTGGATTTTCATAATATGGGATGATGGTATTGGGAATTAACACACGAATGTATTGATATACATGTATATCTATATTGTTTTACTGCGGATGGCTTAACCTTATAAAATACACCACAAATTCAAACTCAATTGAATTGCATGTTTACGCTTTTTTTTGTTCGGGCACACTTTGTTGCTTTCGTGCCTTTTGTCTTGCGACCAAAAGTCGATAGGGTCATTGATGAATTAGCGTATTTTCACATGTGATATGTGTGACGCGGATATTTAATCACTTTTAAATTACTGGCTGGCATTGCAATGGTGGCCAAACCGGTTACATTCGATATGGTTGTTAATGAAGTTGCCGACACATTTGGGTTCATGTTGGACATTGCATTCGATGTCACCGTATTTCCTACAACTGAAAATGGAAAATGCATTTTTCTTTCATTGCTGTAGAATGACATCATTGAAAGAAATAGAACGATAATATTCACCTGTCGATCGTGTGCCAGCCACATTTATTGACGGTGTCATCGATGTAGGTGTCATTGCAGCGGTTACCACAATAATTGATGCAATTTGATTTGAACTTAGTGACGACGATGTTGATCGACCAACTATTTCTTTTGGATCGGTTAAAGTTGAATCACTGTACGGGAAAAAACACACACACATGTAGATGTATCGATCGATATAAACAATGAAAAATTCATGTATAGTACTAGAGCGACTTACGTGAGTTTGTCCAATACTTCATCATAATTATAGTTGTCGGGATTGTTTTTGCAATTTTCCAAGTGTTCGTCGTAGATTGTTATTGTATCGAATAAAATTTTGCATTTCGCGCACAAATATGCACTGATTGAGAACAGTTAAAATGCCAATATTCAAGTTCCATTTCGACGACAATAATTTGATCGATGATATGATTCGTGTGAGATCGATTTTAATTCGAAGAAATGTCATTCCCAATAACGTGGAACGTATTTTTTTTTTAATGTTCAAGGATATTGATTTTATTTTGTTAAATTTATTATAGACGTAGCATTGTGTTAACAAAAAGAACGGAGAAAAATAAAATTAAGGAATGTAGGTGAAATGTAAATATTTTATGTTTTTTTTTGTCATAGAAACACATAAAAGTTTATATAGGATTCGTGAGGAAATGCCGTTTAACTGATTGAGTAAAAATAATAAAATTTTATGTTTTCTGTGTTTGTGTATGTGTTTTTTTAAATTTCCACTTACACCGATTGCTTTGACTTTGCATGCACCGGCATATGCTTTTTCATATTTGCATATTGAGCGTAAGCCTTCTTGCATATCGGGCACGAATACGGCCGTTCACCTTTGAAAAAAGAAGAAAATTATTAAAATAATTATTATTGTAATTGTATAAAAAAAAAATTCTTGTAAAATTATATAAAAAGTTCAATATCATAAAAAAAAACAAAAAAATGACAACAATTTGTGAAAGCATTTGGTCAACCCAAACTTTCTGATGCACAAAAAGTTCGATCTCTTCATTGAAGAGTCTTCAACAAATAATTGCGAAACATCGAAATGGTCAACACAAGAGTTTGTCAAGTTTCGCACAACAATTTGAAGCACATACCCCAATTTACATAGTTTGCCTTCGGCTTTAATTTTAACTTTGAGATATTTGCGTCAAAAATGGAAATTACCTGTATGCACCATTTCGTGTTTTTTTAAATTGGCGCGCTGTGTGAATTGTTTCGGACACAGCTTGCATTGGAACGGTTTTTCATCTGAAAATAAAGAAGAAAAAAACACACTGATTTTTTTACTGTCCAGATTCAGACTACAAAAGATATACTCACTGGTGTGAATGACTTGATGTTTTACAAGATTGGCCGCTTGTGAGAAGGATTTATTACAAATCTTACATGAATGTGGCTTTTCGCCGGAATGAACATACATATGCTAAAATGAGAGCAATCGAATGTAAAAATAAAAATTCGGAAATTGACCAGAGACTGTTCCTATGTGCTCTTCTCCTCGCCAATCACACTCTTGGATGACCAGAGGAATGGTCCTTGAGTTTGACACATTTGATACCGTCATTTATGAAATCATATTGTATTGACAATAATATTTACCCGATGCAAATTAGCTTGTTGTGTAAATGATTTTTCGCAAATATAGCATTTGTAATTCCGTTCGCCGGTATGACATTTTTTATGTTTCCACCAGCTGCTGTGTTTGCTGAATGTTTTCATACAGATGCCGCATTCATAAACTTTTTCGTTCGTTGCAGCTGATGTGACCGACGTTGTGTTATTTGTCTGGGTATGATGAACCATCCGATGAGCGGTCAATTGCTCTTCATTGTTGAAATACTATGCAAAGCCAAGCACATTTTTTTTAAAATTAAATTTGAAATTAAAAAAAAAAAATTTGAAATGTTTTCCAATTACCTTTTGGCAATCCATACATTGCACTTGACACATTGGTTCTGTTTTAAATGATTCGATTAAATTGTTTCCATAGGATTGCATGGTACCGATCAAGACGCCATGCAAATGGTTATGGCCATGGTTATGTGTGGTGGAATGCGTATGATTGTGACGGATATTGTTCAGTCCCACCGATGGTTTGGTGTCAGTACAAACTTCCGTTTGATCAAACTGCATGTCATCTGCACTCATCTGAGAGATAACAAAAAAAAATTAAATAACTTTTTTTTTCATTTTTTTACTCAAAAGAAAAAAAATATTTAATCGCATAAAATAAAACTGAATTATAATTTTAAAATTGCGAGAATCAACACGCATTTTAAAGTATACCATATCTAATGTGTGGAGTGAATATATATATATCTATCTATACATATATAATTATGTCTGCTGAATCATGGCATATAAACTTAATTCAAACGGTTTGCAAATATTTACTTTTTTGGCCTGTAAATGACCGCCATATTCGCTACACACGGTATGAGTTTCATTTGTGCGCGAAAGATCGACGAAAAAAATGTGCACGAATTTCAAGAAAAATTGCACTTTTCACTGGTTCTTATCGAACGACGTTCCATTGGTATTTCAATGGTCAAACTTGATTAATACAAATGATCGTACCGCATCAACACAAAATCACCGCATCAGGATTCCATCAAATCAACTTTTTTTGTTTACTATCGTATATATTCCGATTCCCCATATTTATTAACACTCACAAAAAAAAATCAATTTTAAAATTAAAATTAATTCCAAAATACTTACATAAATCATGATTTGTTATCGATTAAATTCCTTTATCCTTCGATTTTTTTTGTCGTTGGTTTACATACACAAAAAAGAGTGGTTAGTACAGTATATGAAAGACAAAAAGGCGACCAAGCATTTTGACAGGTGAAGTATAGATTGAAATGTTCGTGTTGAATATAGAGAGCGAGCGAAAAAAAAAATGTTGTATGAAGAACGACGAAAATCCTATTTAAAATATCTAAAAGTGCATACAGACTGTGTATTTTGAACCGGATTAATAAAAAACACCATGCGAACGCACAAACACATACACATGCACACACATATACATACACAAGCAAACAATCGCACATACAACTGTCGAATCGGCAATGCTGACAACATACTAATAAAACTGGTCCGATTTATGACCGGTTCACAATGGTACAAACAACAGTACACACCACCGAATTCTTTGAAATTGATTTTTTTAACCAAAATTTTTTTTTTATTCAATTATCACTAAAAATTCTTTCACATTTCTCATTAGCTATTTATAATAATAATAAAAAACAAACAAATAAAAATGATTTGAATGAACGTTTGTTTGTGTTTGTTTTGAAGTACAGTAGTAAACTGTATTCAGTATTTTTTTTTGTCAAATCTGAAGTAAAATGTCAAAAATTCAAGCATGGTGTTTCATCAATCAAAAGTCATACACAAGTGAATGATTATAAGTGAATGAAAAGTTTTCCGTGAACACTTTTGAAGCCGGTAAATTGAAATTTGACATTGAAATAATTTAAAGAGCAATAAATTGGCCATAAAAATGAGTTTAACCATTGATCAACAACGCCAAAGAGTGGAACAAGAAATGACCCGGATGGTCGACGATTTGGATCGTTCCACATTACGAAAAATGCAGGTACAGTGATAAGACCGAAACGGCAGTTCCATTGGAATTGCCAATGGTCATAACTGATACATGGTAAGATGTAATGTTGATTTTTATTTTTCAATCATTTTTGTTTTATTTTCATTTTTTATGCAGGCTGAAATGCATTTATGTGCGGCTAAATGTTGTGAAGATAAAAATGGTAGCATTGAGGGGCAAATCACTTAAAAATTACTTATTAATTATTATTGATTGTTTTACGATTATTTTAAATTTTATTCTTTTCTTTTGTGATTCTCCCCTTAGGTAGCATTGACTCAGTACAAGGATGCATTGAACGATGTTCGGCACCAGTGAATCGGGCACAACAATACGTACAAAAAGAATTAGGTGATTATCAAGGACGACTACAGCGCTGCGTCATGGTAAAATATTTATTTACGAAATTTATTTTCAACATTGAGATGGATGAATCATTAAGAAAACTTTGTTTTTGTTTTTTTAAATGTTTCGTTGAAATAGCAATGCAATGATGACATCAAATTAGAAATGCCACCAAATCCAAATGAAGATGAAATCTCCAAATATACAAACAAATTTGAACGATGCGCCGTTCAATGTGTGGACAAAAATATCGAATTACTACCAAAACTATTCAAAACAATTAAAACGGTTTTAGCCAAAGGACCACCGCAAACACAAGAATACTAGAAAAAAAAGACTACATTCATTGTCCATTACAATTTAGAATTGAGGCAAATACTGTATAACAAATAGAATTTAAATTGATAGATGCTTTATAAATACATTTTCAGATGTATGACACTGTTTACAAAATAAAAATGAACAATATACTTAATATTTTTCGTATTTTCGATGAAAAACAATGAATTTTCTTGTATTGCATCACTTTGAATAATTTCAATTATTTTCAAATCGTCATGGTTTCAGGTATGATGGTTTGAGTGATTATATTTTCCGTTTTACGACCTCTTTGTCTACGGCTTTGTTTCTTATTCTTCTCAAAGGGTTTTCTTTTTCAATCAAGTAAAGTAACGGTATGTTAGGTTCATAGTTTGGCTAAGTATTATTCAGAAATTTGTACTTGTGGTCTTGATCAGATAACCGTCAATCGTCTAACCATTGACATATATGCTTAATTTACAATGGAGTTTACAACGAAATGTTTACGATTCTCTGATAGATATTTAAACTGTAATGATTTTATTTCATTTTCCCAACAGAGCTGTCCACAAACATTAATTTCTCATATTTACATTTTATTCGTTCGTCGAAAATGCAATGCTCGTTTACCTGAAAAATTAAAGTGGGAGACACAATAGGTATTACGTTAAAAATGGCACAAATTCCAATATATGTACATATATACACAAAAAACATCGATTACATTTTGATCGCATATTCTACCCAAGACACCCGAAAACACATTAAACACTTCTTTATTTCTGCGCTTAAACTTGGTGAGTATTAAAGAAAAATTACACATTTTAAACTAATCTTTTGTAAATTTAAACACGACAAAAAGATTTCATTTTTTATCCGGTCGCAAATTTAAAACAAAAATTGGAATTTAAATATTCGTTTTGAAGGCAAATCTAATAGGTTTTTTGCACTCAAGAATAAAGTTCAATAAAAGTGTTTTTAGCAGTATCAAAAAGTGATGAAATATGTCTTAAAAAATTTGAAATAAGTATTTCTCCGACATTTTCGAAATAAAAACTTGAGTGTTGTTAGTTCTTCATCGGTTGGTGATGTCATTGATGGAATGTTATGGCCAAAATTTAACATATATGTTTTTAAAATGTATTCTACCTAACGACAAATAGCATCGGAATAATAACGATGTATAAGATTGGAAAGACGTGAACATGAATATTAGAATGTAAACGTTGTTTGATTATTGATGATTTAAAATTCGGCAAGTTTGTTTGATTTCTTTCGTTTAGTTCTTCTGATTTCGTGTTTAAATATGATTTTAAAGAATTCAACGGAAATCGATATGAAAATTAATTTACATTAAACAAAATAACAAGTATCGATTATGATTAATTTGAATCGGTGTTAACATCACATAATATGATCAAACACACACACAATGCAAACAATTTATTAATAACGCATTGATTTTAAAATTAAATCAAACAAATATTTTCTTGTTGTTCAAATAGAAATGATTAATCATATTTGAACCGCTTAGAATAAAAGTAGATAATGGTAGAAAGTTAAAAAAAATCTCAATCATAAAGTGCTATGAAAATAATACTCAATCAAGAAAAAAAGTGAAAATAAAAATCGATCATAAATTGTGTTTGCTTTTTATTTTCACTCATTTTATGATTGACTTTTATTTTCACTTTTTCTCTTGATTGAGTATTATTTTTACTCATTTTATGATCGAATTTTTCCAAATGAGTGAGATTATAATGAAAATATAATTTATGATCGACTTTTATTTTCACTTTTTCCCTTGATTGAGTATTATTTTTACTCATTTTTTGATCGACTTTTATTTTTAATTTTTTCTTGATTGAGTATTATTTTCACAGAACTTTATGATTGAGATTTTTTTTAACTTTCTACCATTATCTACTTTTATTCTAAGCGGTTCATTTATAAATCACACATTGTTGAGAAAGTGAGAGCCAATCAAAACTAAAAACAATATGCTCTTTATTCATCAAAAACACTTTTGTGTCCGAGATGTATGCGTTGAAATGATCATATACAAATCGCCATCGTAAGCATTACAAACGGTCGTCACATATATTTGAAATTGATATTTGAATGTATTCGACAAAGATGCAAGTGGCCAATAGAGAAGCTTGACGCATATTTTATCAAACAAAATGCATAATCAATTGTCACGGGATTAAATGAAACAAACAAAAAAGAATTAAATTGCGCTGCTGGGAAAAACGTGCAAGCAAATATGTGTATATATAGACGTTTGTTATCGCATAAAACACAGATCGAAACGGAAGTTGTCGAAGAAAACGAAAAAGAAGAAGTAAAAAAACTGGTACATAAAGCACTACATGGCAGATTATGATGATGATGAACATAACCAAAGTGTGTGATACGGTCGGTCATCACTGCACTCATAGCGGGAGTGAATGTGTTTGATGATTCGACGCAAATCAATCTTCGGCTTGCACATACATTAGTTCGACACATACGACATCACACCATTCCAGTGTTCAATAGTTGCTTCGGTGATAGTGTGCGAAACCGTTGATTGCGATTGATAATCATGAGAAATGAGTTTAAATGTTAAAATTATTATTGCTAAATGTTGATGTAACTATAACTCCAGTAACGCTGATTCGACTGCTTCTGTTTTTTTTTTTTTTTTTTTTTTTTCATTTCTTGATCGAACCCTCGACAATTTCGTTCATTTTTATATTTTTGTTTGTTTTTTTTTTTTCATTTATTTCACATAAACATTGTGCTTACGCACGTTCACAGCCTCTTTTAACTGCCAATCAACACATACACGCATTTTTATCTCTTGAGTTGCTGTCGTGTGTCTCTCTCATATGTATGTTTTTTTTTTCTATTTCTTTTTGTATTTGAAACCAAAATATGAAAAGAGAAAAATAGTCACATGGATTTTCTACGTTTTGTATATTTGTAGTTACATATGTATACCATGTACTTTTTAATTATTGCTTGTTGTTTCTTCGTTTTCCCTACATACACTTACTGCTTCCGAATCGATTTGCTTCGTCTTTTTTCCTTCTTCAGCGGCGGTTGTTGCTGTTGCTGCTGTTGTTGCGGCTCGTGATCGATGCAAAAAGTGGCCGTGCCTCATTTTAAATAAGTCAGTTGGTGTTTTGATCTTGAATAGCAACCACAAATTTTCTACATTCATTCTCTTTCGCTAATCTCAATAGCGAATACACCGTTATAAGTCGCAATCGATTATTTTCATTTTCAACGAACAATACATTTTACATAAACCGAAATTGGATATCGATTTCAAAAGTTGTCATTAGACATTTTTTTATTATTGTTTCAATCAAGTTTATTTATTTATTTTTTTAAATTAAACTCGAAAGTTCTGAAAATCACAAAAAAAATTTGTGTGTAAATTCTTAAATCATTCCAGTTTAAAAAAAAGACAAAGAAAGGAACGGAAAAAATAAATTGTGAAAATGATGCAGGAAGTTAGCGAAAACGGAAACAACACAGAACAATACCTTCGTGAATTGACCAAGTCTTTTACTGGTTTAGAGAAACCATTAAAAAATGCCAAATCACCAGCTACATTGGACGAACTCATTGCCGAACTACACGAAGTTTTCAAATCAGATCGAGTCAACATTGAATATGTTAACCATTTGATGCTTAGCTACCGATCCAATCCAATCGAATGGAAAAAATTCGCTAAATTCGATCGTTACAGGTATGTTTAATTTCATATCTATTTACACCAGATTACATCTCATTTTAAAGCATCAATTAGATTTTTGCAAAATAACATACAATAAAACACAACATTTATGATTGTGTTGATGATTTGTTGTAACACAAGTATCAAGGACACTTTTGGGTAACAAAAAAGGTTAGAAAAATCAAAACATGTATAAATACGTTAAAATCCTTCGACATAATATCAATCGCAACATTTGAGCCGATTAGAGCAAACAATCATAAAAACAAATTATTATTAGTAATAATTTATTACAATATAAAGTTCTATTATGGACAATGTCTAAATTCACACACGCTCTACCTCTAAAATTAAAAAAAAAAAACGCGCATATCAAACTAGACATATAAAAGTACATCGCGCGTGATTGAACACTTATTCACACACAAAATAAAGTTAAAGTTCACTGAGAAAAAAACATGAATGAAATGATAACAGATGTATTTCAAATCCATTTCATAAACTAATAATGATGCGTTGTTAATCGCTTTAATTTGTACGAATTCATCTTAATAATCGATTAATTAATAATATTTCCTTATTGATTTAAAAAAAATCACATAAAATGTGAGAGAAAAAAATGAGCACAACTTATTCAAGTCAAAAATGGTATCGAATTAGATGACGTATGATTTGTATATTGAAAATAAATTGAAACCTTAAATAACTTGCGTATACAATTGATTGTTTTTGGAGCGCAATTTATTTCTTCTATTAAATCGACTTCATAAATCATGAAAAAAAATGGCGAATTTATATTCTTTTAATCACTTCAAAACAAGATTTTGTTATTCTTTATTTGAGCTTCGATTATCAGTTGATTGACTGTGCTAATCAAACGACGTGCAAAGATGCTCATTTGCAAAAAAATATTTTCGTACGCGATTAATATACTCATATCGCTCGTTCAATTGATTAATTATGAAGCTATGATGAATTTTTTTCAAAAATTAATTATCACATTTTTTGCATCATTTTTCACCTCACGTTTTGATTATGACGACGAACTTTTTTCGAAAAAAAAAAAAAAATCTAGTCACGTTTACTCATTGAATTTTGCAAAAAAAAATATCTTTGTTTGTAATCAGTTTTTTTGTGTTTGTTTACATTTTTAGAAATCAATTAGCCGTCTGTTTAATTCGGGTTCAACATTTTCGAAAAACTTTCTTTTTCGTTCTTTGATGAATTTCATTTTTTTTTTTTTTTTTCAAAATTCTCAGCTTTTTGAAAGTTTGACTAGACAATATCGCGGTTAAACTCGATTTCATTCCAAACCGGTCACGGATTTTTTTCTTCTTCATCAAACGCTTCGATTTGCAAACTGAAATTGAACGGGTTCATTTTGAAAAATAGTCATTTGCTTTTTTTTAATGGAGTGAAATGCTAATCAAGTCACGTTTTGCAAAACACATAAAATAGCATAGGTGAAAATTTGACGTTTTCATGTTCGATTTTTTTTTTCTATATTTTGAAATTAAATTTTGAATGAAAGTGATTGACATTTTTTCAAACATAGAACTAGTCTCCGCACGTTGACACTAATGTTGAATTTTTTCCGAATATAATGGGTCGCCGTATGCGTTATAAATTCATTGGAAATTCCAATTTTGAATTTCGTCACCATTTATGTATACAAAAAACGTCATAGGTTTTTTTGGAGAGTACTATCGAAAACCTTTCATGATGAGAAAAACAATTTGTCAAATTTAAATGAAATACAATTGATGTCACAGATTTATGGAGGGCATCATATTAATCGATTTATTTTTAAAAATAGACGATGATTTGCCGTATATTTGTTTCCAACTCAAGTTAAAATGTTATTTGAATGATTAAAACCAAGCGAATGTTGGAAATTAAATATTTCGGGTATTCTATGAATTATAGACCCATAAACATTTTTTATGACACATGCTGATCGTTCGTGATGCAAAGTAATTAAACGTTATGGGAAAAAAATACACATCTTGCTATAGGTTATCAATCACGTATCCTGATAAGAATGTTTATTAGAAAGGTCTATTGAAATAACAATATCTTCATCCGCATCATTTTGTTTTCGGAGTGTTATACAACAAAAATTGCGACTTTGAACGATTAACCACCATTGAATAATAGATTCGCGATTTGAGGGAAACTTTTCAAATATATGTTTTTTTGTACAAAAATAATACATAATACTGTTATTATTTGAAATGTCATTGCATTTAATATTACTCATTAAGAGGACGAACCCACAGTAATTGTCTAAACTAGATCCTGTGCACATGATATTTTTGGATTAAACTGATCTGGTATATATGAGATTGCTTCAGACGGATAATTGTGTTCTTTATGGGTTACTTCATTAAAACCCATAAATAAATGCAAGGGGCTAATGCCTTCTTGCAAATACCGCAAAAAACTGGCGAATACCACCTTTTATGGCTGATTTATCACACAAAATGCACTAAAGTATCTGAAAAATTTTGTGCAACCATCCCTATCGAATACGTCAGTGTGTGCACTTGTACGTCAATGGCTTATTCTTGTTGCTACAACAAAGAAAGCAGACATAATAAATAAATAAATGTTGAAAACTGAAATGTTGTTCAACTCAGTTCATTGTATCTGTTTTGTATGATTTCCGAAATTTTTGTTAATGAATTCTAAATTTGCGACAAAAAAATTATGAAATTCAAAAAGAATTACACACCCAAAAATAACTTAATAAGGAAAATAGTAAAACTTTCTAATGTTGTGCAAAAAAAAACTGATTTATTGATTCGTTGTTCTTTCGATATCTTTTCAGATATACACGAAATTTGGTTGATGCAGGCAATGGTAAATTTAATTTGATGATCATATGTTGGGGTGAAGGACATGCATCGGCCATTCATGATCATGCTGATTCGCATTGTTTTATGAAAATGTTACAGGGTGAATTGCGTGAAATTCGCTATGCATGGCCAAATAATGAAATTGGCAATAATATAGAAATTAACACGTCAGCCGATATTTCGAGTAAAATTGGAGACGATTGCAACAATGAATACAATGGCAGCGAACTACAAGAACTATCTCGAGCTATTATGGAAACCAATAGTGTTCACTATATAAATGGTGTGTGACATTTTCATCAATCATTCTTTTCGTTTATATTTTATTTTAAATTGAATTTATTTTTTTTATTGTGAATAGACACACTTGGATTACATCGCGTTGAAAATCCCAGTCATACGGACGGTGCTGTTTCATTGCATTTATATTGTCCACCATACGATGCGTGTTCAATATTTAATCAAAAAACTGGAAAAAAGACTAGATGTACGGTTGAATTTTATAGCAAATACGGTCAACGACGATTCAAGGTGAGTGCATTTCAATGTTTGTTTTATAAGGGTAGAAAAAAGCAAACCTTTACCTCACCTTAGTTGCTAAATGCATGCATCAAAGTAAAGTTTTAGTGTTATCTTTCTCTTTACAATTGAATCGTTCAATTTTTATCAAAAATTTTTTTCTTCCACGTTCCCAGGACTCTGTCATAACTGCTGAAGATAAATGAATTTATTATTCATCATTTTTTTAACTCGATGAACATTCATTGATTGACGTATTTTATGGCTGATATGATAAAAAGAAAAAAACCGAGGAGAAAATAAAACAAAAGCAACCTTATAAATTTATACGATTTGGTTAAACTGAATCAAAGTTAACCAATCATCCAGTGAATGATTTTTTTTATGTTGTGCGTGTGTTTATACGATTAACTTGTTTGTCGAATACTTGAAATGAAAAATGAATAAACGCTTAGACTACATTTAAAATGAATGCATTGTGTTTTTTGTTGTATTCAAATAGAATGTATGTGATTAGTTTACAGCGATCGTTTAGGTCGATCGTGTAAATAAAAACGCCCAAATGTTTTCTAAATAGAAAAATTCACAAAATAATGCACACACAAATTTGGTCTAAATATGTTTTTTTTTTTTTGATTTTAATTATAAATAATCCAATGTTATCACATTAATTAAATATTTATATTGATAAAAATTAAGCAAGAGAAAAATGTGGTTTATGTAATAGCGTACATTTGTTGTTTCTTCTTGTTGTTTTTGCGAGATTGAAATATCAAAATTTTTATTTGATAATAATATTTGTATATTTAACTTAGCTAATAATTCGTCTAGTATAACATGATGCTAATACAGCAACATTAAATATATCGTTTGAAGTTGTATTTTTGTTGTTTTTGTTATTCTTGTCACTGGTTCCGAAATGTTTGGACACATATCATTTGCAGTTTGATTGAACTTGAGATTATTATTAATCGGAATCCGATTGTCCATACAGTTTTCATTTTCGGTGTCATCATTGAAATAAAATTGAAAAAATAAAATAAAATAAAAATAAACGGCATTCAAGACAAAATTATTGATTGATGCAATGAAAAAGAAAATGTAATGTTATTGTTTAAAAAAAAATCAATTTACTTTGTTTTATTATCGAGTGTTTCTTATCGTTTATGAAATTAAATAAATTATATTTAGAAAATAAGGAAACAATATTAAACATATTTTGTAGCCGCTATTGTTCAATGCTCGATGAATTGCTTAGAAAAATTTTCGAAACAATAATCAACTTAAACAAGTGAACAAAAGCATGTGTAGTTATCAAAATCACTCTAAAACACCTTAAAACTACGTATATACTGTCGCTTGTTGTGTTTTTTTTAGATAAAATCTCATTAGTTTATATCATATCTATTTTTCATTAATGTTTTCTCTGTTCGCTCTTTTTGTCGAACCCTTTCAATTTGTTAAATTAATTGAACGCATTTTCACTTCACATAGTATTAGACGTTGACTCAATATATTGGCCTTTTCTTCATTGCTCTCTGTCTCATTTCTCGATTATTATTTTTTTTTGCAGACTCCAATAAAATTTCATGCATATATGTGCTAAATCGTAACAACCGAACGAAAAAAACAAACAAAAAATTAAATAGCGAGTTCGAGCTTCATTTATGGGACCACGACATGATTCAAATTTAATTCATCTTTGGTTCTTTCGGTTAGCAAACGACGAACGCTGACGCTGGTGTGCCGATGATCAATTGTGTTGCCATTTTGCATCATTGGCTCAACATTCGGCGCCTTTTTCGTTTGGAAGTTTTTGCACAGGAAAATGCACTATTTTGAAGAGAGAGAGAAAAATTTGTTCATCAAGTCATAATGGAATTTGATTTTTCTCTTTATTTACCACAAGGGAAGCGAACACGATTCCAATTTTAGCTCCGGCCAAAACATCCCACCAATGATGTCGGTGATCGGTGATTCGAGAAACTGAACAAAGGAAAGCATACAACAAAAATACACATTGAAGAGTTGGTATCAATAATTTGCTCCGGATTTTTGGTGTACGCATCTGAAGATACCTATATGCAAACGAGAATAAAAAAACAATAAGTATATATTGTTAAAGCCACATTTTTTTTTTGGTTTCAAATAACAAATGGATTCATTTTCGTTTTCATCAGAAAAGAACCTACCAAATTAAAAAGATCGCTTCGTAAAATGATGTCGATGAATGACCGGACGGGAATGATTTTGATGCATCGCGAACAAACCACGAACTGTCAATGTCATTGGTGCATTTGTAATCAATAACATATTGTCTAAATAAGGAAAAGAGCGTACATTAACTCATAATTTTTTTTTGTTCGATTAATGTGTAATTTACCCTCCGGTGCAGGTTTGCAAAGCATCAGGCCGGCATGTATCCAAGAAATGTGGTCTTAGTTCACCGAATAACACCTGTTCATAGAAAGAAAAATTGCGCAAACAATTAAAATGTGATAAAAACATTGTGACGTCGAATCATAAACCAAATCAACTTCGTCGAGTCTCGTACTCACCTTGATACCATCGATAACGAACAAATGTAAGGTGATGCCGTATAAAAATTCCTTGAACCATCTCCATGCCCGTCTTGCCGATTCAATGAATCGTGACGACTTCATTGATACTGGTACAAAGTAGCATGCCTCACATATCCATAAAATTGGATAAATTAATAAAACGGTAAATAGCAATGCCCCCGTTGTAACTGTTTCTCCATTATATTGCATTGCAATGGAACGATCATCACAGTAAAAACCGCGTTTCACATGCGGAAAAATGCCCAATTCAATCACGAGCAACCACAAAATGACTGCAATAAGAATAGAAAGATAAAAACAAAGATGGTTAAAAAAATCGAAGAAAAAAAAATGAAACAATCAATATTAACTGATAATAGAAGCAACCATAAGATGCAACGTCAATGAATTCATCTTGTAAATGAGATTTTTCGTAATCGTTTGTTTAACTATTGGAATGTAATTTTGTAATGTTGAAAATAAAATGCAAACAAATGTTGTTGGCTCATTCATTGCAACGAATACTCTCTTTCATCAACAAAAAAGAGCAGAATACCTAAGGTGCATGAAATTGTGGCATTCATTTGCTTGAATCTGCTGTTTGTTTTTATTTTTTTCAGATTACGTTTCTATTATTTATTTATGTTTTCCTAATTATCGAGTTTCGTTTGAATTCTCAAATAAAAGACTGGGATGTAACGTTACCATTTTGATATCGATTTCATTGTCTAACTACTTTCAAACTGTTGTATTGTTCTTATATAGTTTTTATTTTTGTTATGCGACCATCGCGCGCTTTCTTGATTATTCATTTTCTTATTTTGCTGACGAACAACTGGATGCAGTCACATCGAACGAATGCGCAAAATGAGTGCACGTTCGAGCCCAATAATTGAATTAAATATTTTGAACTATTAAGATGTATATTGAATGTATGTGAAATGACTCAATTGCAGCCGTTTATGTATACAACAATCAATGGATGAATACGGACAAGTGCTGTGTGATAAAAGCAAACACTAGTTCAATGCCATCGTAAATAAATGTTGTGGTGCCGGTGAATAATAACACCTAATCTTCTTTTTTTTTAAATGACGCCTTAAGAACGTCATTACATATGTTTTCTTTCTGCAATGTGGCAATTAAACACAAACAATCGGTGTTGTAAATATCGCAAACATTTGTCTTATGACATAATTTACGATGAAATGTAACCGGTTCCTTGTGAAGTAAATTTAATATTAATTTGACAATGTGATGATGAAAAATGCATTTTTTGTTGTAATTTTTCATCGTACATGTATCAATTACTTAATAATGTGTTTGTGTTTTTATTTTTCCTACATGGCTATCAAGTGACGTCACTGCGTTTGTTTTTCCTCAATCGATGCACTCTCTGTTTTCAATCTGATCATAATGCACATGTGACATTGTTCATATATTGCAGATGTGTCAACACAACAACGATCTTGCATTTGAACTACTTTTAGTTTGTTTTTTTGTTTTGTTTAGTTTAATAAATGCACGATGATGAATCCGAATGTTTGAACACAGAATCTCGATAAATAAAAACTTTGAAGAACAAAAATGTTACTCACCAAACCAAAGTCGATTCGATATTCTCGATCGTTTATCATATTTGTAATCGCGGTAAAATTTTAATGGAGCATAAAGAAAGCCTAAAATTATTATCACTGTTTTAGTAGCAAGCATATTTTGTGCGTGTGTTTTCTTTTTCTCGTTGTGCAAATCAAACAAAACTACACTGAAATGGTAGCGTGGCAAGAAAGTATTACAATTGTAATGCTTGATTAATGTCAATTAACACATAGAAACCGTTGTTCAACGTAGATTTGTCTTCCTTTGACTGAACCTCGTCTCTTTCTAAAACCAAAGTTTTTGTGAATACTTTTTTTTTCCTTCATCCAACAACCTTATTTCCACTTCGTTTATTTATTTCTCTTACTTATTGTTCAGACACAATATGTGGATATCTCTTTTGTTAACAGAAGGTAAGAACTCAAATGTTCACCGTTAATTGTTGCCATGAATTGATCTTTGATACAGTTTTTGTCATACAAATGTGTAATGCTTTTTTTGACTTTTTTTCTTATTTTTTTTTTAATCTTTTATCTATCACATCAATTCGCAATGATTTATTATTCACAAGATAAGCGCCAAAACAGCAACAATAACAACAACAATGACACTCTATTGACACACATTAAGTGGATGTATAAGGAAGACACTCTACTGATTCAATGTAAAAAAATTAAAAATTTGCAAATCTTATTTCACTGTAAATATTGCGGCAGCGGCATCGGAATGAATAAATCAACAAATATGATTTCTCAAAAAAAAATTGACTTCCGCCACAATAAGATGTGCACGCGCTCGCGCACATAAATTTGAACTAAAACAAATCAAACAGATGCGCCGTGGAAGTGTGTTACATTAGAATCGATCGATGTAAATAAAGCGTTTAATGAACAAATTTTGAATGTCAAGTGCAACAAAATCGAATATTGTCGTTTGATCGCGTGCCAAAATACGAATGTTGCCAATTTAAAAACGTTTTAGCACGCGCATAGAGATCAAATGACCCCTATTTACATCCACAATATGTAAATCAGCGCCAACTTTCCAATGTTTTGTCACAACGAATCACTGAATTGAATGTGTCGATGACTGTAAACAGAACAATATTCTGAGAATGTAGGTTTGGTTTCGGTATTAAAATCGATTGAATTTTACTGATAAAAACAAATTGCTTGCTTCATTCCAAACCGAAACATCAAATCAAATATCTCAGAATGAATATCGACCGACCCAGTCATGAATTGTGTACCTATTATGGCGAATCGGTGTGATCAAGAGAGAGAGGGAAATTAAATGCACGCACACTACAATTCATAAAAGTGATAAAAATATAACACTCAAACAATAATGCTCTCATATGGTGGCGTCGACGTCACATCATCTGACTGGCAAGACAAACGAAATAGAAGAAGAAAGAAAAACAAAACACACACACAAGTCGATAATTTCTCACCGGGAATAGTGTCGAATATCGAATGTTTTTTCTTCATGTTTCGCATGCCGTCTTTTCGTTGTACTCATTTCTCTTCCGAAATTTTTGTACACGGTGAATCATACGGTAAATACACACTTTCACACAATCATACGATATTGTATCGTTTTATGTTATTGTTTTTTTTATGTATGAGTATGAATGAATGAGGTGGCTACTAGACGATTTTTTTTTTGCTTTACGATAGAAGAAATTTCAATGTAGTGAAACACGTGCATACTTAATCGTACCATATGTAAATTCCTCAGCCAACATCGTACGATAAAAAAAATAAAGAAATACACCGACACTGAATTGAATTTAATGATGAGCATGTATGTTTATCTTTTGATCATTGTTGCTCTTATCATCAATGTATTTCAATTGTTTATGTCTGTAAAGTCGCATGTACATATGTTATGACTATCTAATCAACTGTCATATTCCAGATGGTTTAGAATGATTAAATAACAATTGAAACTAGTCAAATTTATATCTTTTTGTTCGGTTGAGCAAAAATGTATCTCTTGAAAAATCTATTATAGCTGAATCAGGAAGGTGACTGGAGATTTTGGTCAAATATTCATTAATCATCATCTCGTTGTTTTATTCATAATTTCCAGCTCCATGGTTCAGTCATAGTCTTGTATGCATCACAAAGTGGTGACTAATACAATGTTTGTAACTTACAAACTAACATTTCGGAACCGATATTCTGACTAATTCGCCTGAAGTTATGCTATTTTTTTCTCACATTTCCCCTTCAGAGGGGAATGGTGTTGTTTCAGTATCAGCCAAATTGATATATCAACAACGAATTTCAACGAACATTTTTATTGCTTTACATTTGTGAAATATCGAACAGAATTTGCGGAGAGAATGTAAATGATTACCGAACATTCGGTTTCAGGGAAATAACCGAGAATTTATTCACTATCAATATATGAAAAAAAAAAATTGCATATTATCAAATTAGGCTAAAAATAGACTATTTTCAAATAGAATAATCAGTGATCGTTCGTGACAATACTTTTATATTTAGCCATATTTATAAAGGATAATTCTATAACAATAGAAAATAGAAAGAAAATCGAGCCAATGTAGCGTCATTGTGACGGAATTAAATTAGCTTGCACTATTTTTTGTTGTTGTTCAGAAAACGCATTAAATGATAGCGCAAACGTTGACTATTCATCGATGTCTGAATGGAAATAATGTAATATCAATGATATTTTATCACTTAAATGATAGCAACTCAGTTAGGTACGCCACGTGATTCAAACGCTTATGGCATTTATGCAATTTCAATTCCGTCATTGGAGTAATTCACGCCATAAATTCACCCGTATTCATATCCAAGCATTTGCCGAGCTGGTGGCTAATGTTGTTGGGCTTATTCATATAATTTTTTTTGGTTGTATTTTGGATAGCGCATATGAAATGCAAACGCACAAGTGAATAAAGCTATAACGAGCCAATAATAATTTGGAATTTGTTGTTTTGTATATGTGTGTATTTACATCCACAAAAATCGTTCCGTTGCACTGTTGGATACATGTTTCTATTGCTTCATTTCATCGGTCATCCATTCTTTTGGCTTAATGGAATTCATAACTCACACGATTATAGGTGTACAAGACTCCTTACCAATCAACCAAAAACTAAACCGATTGCGCTCACACAAAAAAAAACACACACACACACATACGACATTTAAATAAATTGGCGCGTGCATTTGCAATGATCTAAATCCATTATATTCAAATTGTAACGGTATTTTGAAGAGTCATTTCTTTTATGCATTTCCTAATGGGCAACAAATATGGAAAATAGCTTGGATTTGTGTAGAAGAGAAAGAAACAACGATATATTTTCATTTTGTCACTTTGTTTTTTCGCTTGCTCGCTTATGAAGCTGTAGAAGTTTTATGGCTTTTTAAAAATCTATATTTTCAACTGACATAATCGTGATTCAGTGAATTAATGGAGGCAAGAAATCTACATAGCTCAGAAACACCCAATGCGCATAGCAAAATGCACTTTTTTTTCTTCTTTTTTTGGTGGAAAATTTATTTATGCATTTTAAAATTTGCATTGTCTAATGTTATTTATGTTACCTTTTAGTGGTTTTTTGAAGAAAATAAGAAAGAAGAGAACTGGTTTCTATTTATCATTGTTTAACATTTATTTATTTTCGATGTATAACCAATGGTCACTCCATGATGCATATCGTGTGTGCAGTGGTTTCATTTTATTTCGGTGCATTTTCGAGAGATGATCGACAAGAGCCACACGACTGACAGCGTCACGGAAGTTTTTTTTCGGAATAGAAGACCTCATAAAACATTGAATCGAATGACATTACCATATAAATGTTCAAAGAGATTAGTGTCAATTTCTCAAGCCACCCCACCCACCACCACACACACACAAACAAAAAATAAATCTCATTTCATACCGCGAAGGAAAAAAATAATTTTTTTCTCTGATTGGACGAACAACCAAAAAAAGAGAGCATCGAATGACTTTTCCCATCCGAAATCGTTGTAATAATAAAAGCATCTTATATTGCATTATCTATAATGAAAATTAATCGAAAATATATGGAATTGTCATGTGTTGTCAACTGTCTGTTCTGTATCTATGTGATGTTGTCTGACTTTTTTTCTATTTCGAACCGGTTCGCCCGAAAAAGTCGAAGTGTTGTCTTTATTGAAATTAGTCGAGCTAAATGGATTAGCCGGTTGGAAAGAATAAAATACATTTGTATACATGATGTTTGGAATTTATTATTGTATATTATTTATTTTTTTGGCGTGTTACGGTGCGCGCACATTTTTCCATATATCATCCATTCTCGAATTGTGCATTGTGCGTCGGCCAGAATAACAAACGCACATCGTTAAGGCTGTTCATTGAACTCCGAGGCCCCCGAGATTTGTGATGTATTGTGAGCTGCATTGTCTCTTATAGAAGCATAAATTTATTAATAAAAATCATTCGCGCATCATAAATGGACAACAATTGTCCTGACAATATACAGTCATATAATCATACAACGCTTCTTTTTTTCTTCTTCTTTAATCTGTTTTTTTTTTCGCCATACGTTCAGTCTACGTGAGAAATTGTATGAATATTCACATCGTGCAAAAATTATCGCCGTAATTTAATTTATGATATCATTTTGGCAAATGCTATTAAAATGAAGGGGATATTGAAGCCTTGAATCTTTCCTACTCAATTAGAATCGATTGTTTATTAGCCATTGTGTCGATTTGAATGATATATCCACTTGACACATGTCACTTGAATTTCATCCAGCAATGCAGGAACAGTATTTAATGAATGTGAAAGTTCATAAAATTCAAAGCAAACCCAAGTGAGTTCAAATCTACTTAACGGTTTTTAAACCGAACGTTGCTTCATTCGAATGCAACACTTTGTCACATTAAGTAGACGAAAGAAAAAAAAAAACCATACGATTTTGATAAGCGCTAAGTGCCAAGCTAAATCCCTGTTGCATGTGATTGGTGCCGTTCAATAAAGAATGCCATTAAATGTAGTTATTGCCGAGAAAGACATTAAATTAATGTCTTCAAAACTAAACGCTTTGCAATGTATTTTTTTCAGTTTGATTTATTTCATCGTTTTCAATGTATATGTAAAAAAATAACACTTTACAATTTGTGATCAAGAAGTAAGAAAACCTTCGAGAAATCACACTTAAAATGTGTTGAAAAACGTTAATTAATGAAAAATGCATTATTAAAGAGATCAAACAATCAAGATAACTGCTTGAACATTAATTCGGACAATTCACGAAGAAACAAATTGAAAATTTGCACACAATTTGACATTTTGCATATGAAACCAAATGATTTGTTTACCTTTGAACAATTTAAATTTACCGCTGGCAATAAAGTTTTTTTTTTTTCATAAATATTGTGTACGAGTGCATATTTTTTTTCAAATTGTCGTGATCGAAAAGTGTTAAACATTGAACTCACACATTGATCTTAATGTTATTCGCATATCTCATCCGTATCTCGTCTTACTTAATTCGCCAAATTGCTCCATTGGTAAATGGTAAAGTTTTGTCGCGTCACTTTGAACGTTTTTATCTCTCTATTTTTCTCTCGAATTTGCATATATTGGATCTGTAATTCGATGCATTGCAAAATATAATGATAGTTGTTTATGCGCCCAATATCGGTTACACGTGTCGCGATTAAGATATTAATGGAATGCACATTGTATTACGTTTAAATTAGCATTGAATTGTTTCACATTTTCCAATTTTTTTTCCATAACTTAAAAAATATTTCCAAACGTGATAGTTGGATTTTGTGGCAAACACAAATTACGTCACCAATACAGATTCTTATGTGTGTCGTAAAAAAAACACATTTTTATCAGTATCGAAAGTGTATGAGAATCATGTCTCCCTGGTTCGATTCGAAAACAAAAAACGCCGTTACCCGATTACAAACACATCACAAATGAAATTCGTGGAAAATATCACATTCCAAATAGAATTGTCATAATCGTATACGTGAACATATGTGCTCTAGATTAACTTCAATCGAAATCAATTAACATGCTCCGGATTTGAATCCACAATTGAATGTAGATTGGTTTGCCGGCATTAATTATTTGTCGATCACACAGTATTTGGAGGGATCGAAAATCATTGTTATTATACATATTCAATGCCAATCATTTGATTTTTATG